CTCCACAAAGTTGGATATTCAGACAGCTGCAAGCACCTCCCAATCCATATTTCGTATATCCATGCTAAATTTCAAAGATTTCTAAAATCGTGGAGAAACCCTAGATCTGGAATAAAATCCTAATTTGGTCAATAAGCGTTGAATTATCAGGTTGCTTTCCTGCGTTTTTCTGGCAAAAAGTTTTGAAAAGATTCGAAAAAGATGGAGGGAACTCCTCATCCGGTGCCGAGGACTGTGGAGGAAGTCTTCAGCGATTTCAGAGGTCGTCGAGCTGGTCTCCTCAAAGCTCTTACTGCTGGTATTTTGTTGTTATTCCGTTTGCGTTTAATTCTGTTTTTAGCAACTGGAAAAGTTGTAGAAAACTAATAGAAAAAATTGAAAGCTTTGTTCTGAATCTGCCGTAAGTTTGTGCTTTTCTGCATGGATTTTTATGTTGCTCTTATTTGTGCCTTTGCCTGCACGCATAGGAAATTGTGTTGCAACTAACTTTGGTTGTTTGGAGGGGTTTAATAGTCGTGGGCAGCAAGGATTGCTTTGTGGAATTTAGGGTCAAATGTATTCTGACTTTATTTTATTTTGGTCTTGGCAGATGTGGAGAAGTTTTATCAGCAGTGTGATCCTGGTGAGCTTTTTTTAGTTACTTTTTTTCGTTAGTTCTTTATGCGTGGTGCATCTTTATTATGAGGGTTGACCACTGAGACTGATTTCACATGTCTGTGTTAAGGTTTGGTTCCATGTGGCTGTAATTTTGGTTGTTGTGTATTCGTGTTATATTGAAAAGCTGTTGCGAGTGTAGGATTTTCAGAATTTATAATTTGATACATTTCTGCTGTCGTCAACTATTGCAAGTTTTTATCGTAGTTTTTCATGCATTTGGTACAATTTTCCCTTTTGCTCCGACGTCCATGGGTGGACACTTACTGTCTTTGTGCATTTACAACCATGTTTTTCTGAAGTCAGCTCTTGGAAGTTTGATTTTTGGTTAGCTCTTCATGATATTGTGACTTGTTAAGATATTATTTTGTAGAATGTGGCAATCAGGCAATGTGCTGAAATCTGCTTACTTTTTCTTAAGGAGCGTGATATTCTCGTGACTTGTCACTACTTGAGCAGTGGATTGCATAGCTAATTCAGATTTATTTTTATCCAAAATAAATTTCCAAGTTAACCTTAATATGAAGAGAAGACCAATAATAATTGAAATTGTCAATATCCTGTAGAGTCAATCAAAAATATTCTGGAGGTTTGTATTTCTGTTATAATAATATCCTCTCAAAAATCTCTCAACAGTTACAGTATTGCATGATGGTAACGTATGTCGAAAGTCCTGTACTGCCGGAAGATATTGTGTCCTCATGCAATTTGCTAAACCCCAAAAGATTTTATGTTTAATTGTTCCTTTGTTATTATGAAAGAGTGCATCATTGGTGATAATGCAATGTGTATATGGCTATTTATTTCCAATTTACGTTTTGAATGGGATGAAATATTTAATTTAGTTCTCAACCTCGTTTCAATGCTAAAGGGATTGTGTGTTGGGTATCTAGCTGAGGTATTAATTGTGATGCCACGCTGGTTGGTAACAATGTGCTACCGCAACTTTCTAATAGAATTTAAGATATTTCCTTTATGTTATTGCATGATAGCATATGCCATGTTATTTGGTACCTGTCACAGTGTCACGTGAAACTGGCCTTGCTTGATATTCAGCTTCAATTTTCTGGAATATCAAGGCATCTCTAACGTAGGGACTAGGGAGTCATTAACATGTAGCTTATATCATATTTGGCATCAGTAATAAATATTTATCCATTATGATGGTGTGCCAGAAGATTTGTAAGTGCCATTTTCGTCCAAGAAAAATGTTAGATGAACGAAGCCTATTGATGTTTCTGTGATTCTTGTCAAGTTGAAATGAAGTCTCTAGAGAACGGGATGATATTGGTAGAGTATATTATTAACATATATTTTTTTAGCATTATGACACAATATGAAGCTGATAAAAGAAAGCTGTGCTGCTAGTCTGCTACATATTTGTCATTCTGAGCCCGTAATTTGTGGCAGTACATTGATTTACCAACGAACCTTGATCTCGTGTTATCCAAAACTAGGGTAAAAGTAGTGTTGATTATTAGTGGAGTGCCAATTAATTTGATGTAAGAGACATTTTCTTTCTGATATACTAAGTCGTGGTTAGTTGAATTTGTTGGTAGTTGATATTGAATGTTAAGATAATCATATGGTGGTATCCATGGTTTAACTCTATTTTTGTTGCTTGGTTATATGCAAATTTATGATCCGCTTGCTCGATAGACATTCATGTTAATTTGTTTTCTTATCACCGATACCTTCTGTGATTTTTAAAATTCGCATGTTGATTATAGCCTGTTGTGCTAGACCAAGTGTGTTTAGGTGTCATAGATGTGGCCTATCTTGAGAAGCTAGACTTTATCTTGTTAGTGACTGTTTGTGGTGCATGAGACCATTGGCTGCTCCATAAATTCAAGTTCAATATGGTGTACATGTTCTGATAAAATGTTAGGTAAAATGTACAGACTGATTATTGTTTCTGCATGCTGCCTTGTAGAAAAAGAGAACCTCTGTCTATATGGGCTTCCAAATGAGACTTGGGAAGTAAACTTGCCTGTTGAGGAAGTGCCACCCGAACTGCCTGAGCCAGCTCTTGGGATAAACTTTGCCCGAGATGGGATGCAAGAGAAGGACTGGTTATCACTTGTTGCAGTACATAGTGACTCGTGGCTGCTTTCTGTTGCATTCTACTTTGGTGCACGATTTGGATTTGGTAAAAGTGAAAGGTAAATGCTTTCTGCTGGGATGTTGTTCGGGGAGCTTATTGACTTCTGGAGTTATAAATAACTTAATAATAAAATTTTGTCTTGTCTTGAATTTTGATTACAGTATGATTGGCTACTTATACTGTATCAGTTATAGTTATATATAATCTCAGGAAAATATATCATACTTATATGCATGCCTTTTCTGTGTTGGGAGTGATATTAGCCCATTTGTTCTTGTTCATTAAGGATTTTGGCCAATTACAGTGCCGTACCTTGTTTTTCCCGTAATAACTGTCATAGTATTTTGATTCCCACAAGACTCTTGCATTGACCTATGGTTTAGTTTGATGTTCCAATTCTTCTGGAACATTTTGTTCCATTTGTCGTCTTTTGATGTCTTCTTTTTTAGCAAACATAAATCTTAGATGATAAGTTTACTTATGTATAATTTAATCTTCTTAGCTTCGTACTTGTAAAAGAAGATTATCGATATTGAATGAAGCCAGACATAAACTTCTGTACAGCTTAACCTTGAAGTTGGTTGCAGTTGGTAATATAATGTCTATATACACTTGCCCATGTGCTTCATACGAATAACTTCTATAGTTGTCAGCCTGATGTGTGATTTTTGTGCTATTTGTTGCGTGTCTTTATTTAATATGTGGTGGTTTTTCTTTGAGACTTTTTAATTACCTTCTTAAGCTTGTTTACAAATAGATAATTTTCATTTGTCTGTTGCTGCCCCCTTGTAATAGTTTGTTACTCTAGAGATTCAATTGAATGCTCATCTTATTCTTTGTTAGGTTATGAGATTCACAGTTAAACTTTTAATCTGTGATCCATTGGAAATAGGATATCTAAACCACTTGAATTGGTTGGTTTCTCTTTCCCAAGTCCTGTTAGTTTATGAGATTCACTGTTAAACTTGTGTCTCAGTGACCCATTATAAGTAGTTTATTGGGTTCTCTCTCCCAGCCCTATCTCTTCCTACAGACTTTTGAATTGGGAAACAGTATTACCTACCTTGTGTGATGCTGCCCCTTTTACTTTTGAGATGCTTTGGATGATGTGATAGTTATTCTGCAACTAATTTCTGTAGCCTGTTGGAGAAGTCATTAAGATATCAAGATATGCTTATTCAGATAGAGAAGCCGTTGAGCCTCCAAACTACTTGGAATAGTTTTTGTTTAATCCCTAATCTCAGTTGGAAATCCATTTTGTACAGGAAACGGCTTTTTCAGATGATTAATGATCTCCCCACCGTTTTCGAAGTTGTTACAGGGGCCGTTAAGCAGACAAAGGACCAAAATAATGGCAACAGGAACAGATCTAGTAACAAAATGGTAATTTCTGACATGCACAAGTGCCCTCTTTCTGTTGTGCTGGAATTAATTATGCGTCTTAATTATATATTATAATCTCTCTCTCTCTCTCTCAGCCTTCTCGACAGCCCGAGTCCCAACCCAAAGCAATTAAGATGGCGGATGAAGAAGATGAGTCGGGAGGTGAGGAAGAAGAAGAGGACGATGAACAGGGAGCCACGTGTGGAGCCTGTGGGGATAATTATGCAAATGACGAATTCTGGATTTGCTGTGATATTTGTGAGAGGTGGTTCCATGGGAAATGCGTGAAGATAACGCCTGCAAAAGCCGAACATATCAAGCAATACAAATGCCCTACCTGCAGTAGCAAGAGGGCTAGGGTTTAGTTTAATCTGCTGCCCATATTCATATTTGGAAGATCGATTCAGGGTGTAGAAATGGTTAGTCTTAACTTCATCCAAAGTTGAATGGGCTATACAATCAATCAGTTTATAAATTGGAAGATCGGGCAAATACCGATCCCTCAAACTTTTGTAATATTTTGCCTAGATGTTGTGTTGCTCATGAATTGTAGTACTCTTTAAGGAAGTTTGGTGACAGCGGTGCTCTCTTATTTAGAAATGGATTGTTGAATATTTTTCCTTTTTTTTTTTTAAT